AAAAAAAAAAAAGAAAACCTGCTGAAGAGTTTCTATGGAAAAATTAGGGCTCATCCTTGTTAAAGAAAATCTGCTGAAGAGAAACTTGGGGCTCATCCTTGTTAAAAAAAGAAAACCTGCTGAACAGTTTTTATGGAAGAACTTGGGGCTCATGGTGGTTAAAAAAAAAAAAGAAAACCTGCTGGAGAGTTTTTATGGAGAAACTTGGAAGTCAATCTGCTGAAGAGCTTCTATGGAGGAACTTGGGGCTCATCCTTGTTAAAGAAAAACAAACCTGCTGAAGAGTTTTGATGGAGGAAAAGAACAACCACAGCCCGCAAACCCTGGTGGCACTCCCAGATCCCTTCCAAGCCCAGAGATGGGGGATCCCAGCTGCCAGTGCCCTGCCAGGGGTGCCAGGCAGTGCCCAGGGCCGCTGCTCACCTCTCCAGGCAGGCGAAGAGGCCGGCCTTGCCCCCCACGGCACACAGCACCTTGGGCGCGCAGCGCGGCCGCGTCAGCAGCATGGTCTGGTGGGACAGTCTGTGCTCGGGCATGAAGTGGTACTTGAGGGCCTCGTTGAGCAGGTGCTTGCAGGTGTGGTCGTCCCGGATCAGGTGGTTGGCCTCGTAGAGGCGCGTGAGGAACTTGACGCTGAGCAGGGGCAGGCGCACGCAGTGCAGCAGCTGCGCCAGGTACTTCTGGCGCTCCTGCACGTCGTACTTGATCCAGGCCTCCAGGGCGTAGAACACCGTCTCCTCCGTCAGCACGTTCAGGCAGTCGTTGGACACGATCTCGTCCAGCTCCGAGTGCGTCAGCTCCAGGAACTCCTCGGTCTGGCACACGTCCTCGAAGTTCTGGCAGATGAACTTGCTGGCGGCCAGGTAGAGCTCGCGGCAGCCGTAGGTCTCGGCGAAGCGCGAGATGCCGATGCAGTTGCCGGGGTCCAGCTGGCTCTCCAGGAAGGCGCAGCACTCCTTGACCACCAGCTTCACCTGTATTGGAATGAAATCCCGACATTGCCGTGCCTGGGCTCGTCTGGCCTTGCTGCTGGACCAAAGGTGGCAGCTGGGGTGGTTTCACCCCACAGACACTTTGGGCTGGTGGGTGTGTGGTGTTTCACCCCACAGACAC